ATAGTAAATCTATTTATAATTGTTAATTGTAATATAACGCGTAGCAATCCTAAGATAATCATCTTTAAATTTAAAGAAGAAGGAAGTGTTGGGAACGCAAAATAGAGTTGCTTATTTATTTGAGTTTTTAGTTTGGTAAGCAGAACCATGATTGTACGTAATCTTTGAGACAGTGCGCATCGTAAATAGTTTATAATTCACAATGAGTATGGAACTCTTATGTAATAAAATATATGGAGATAACGAACAGTATTCAAGCTCAAAAGTCCATTAAACATTACAAAATAGGTGCAGAGCAAACACGGACCTCCAAAACATCAGAGGTGGGATCAGGTGCCATGGAGGAGTGAGCATCCCCTGCCGACCGGTCACACCCGCCGTGTGCTCCTTGTCATGATCAGAAATAAGTGTACACATAACAAGACCAATGACTGGCATTCATGATGCATATAGTACTATGCAGTACGCAGAGATGATAGTAATTGAAATATATGATATGCTTATATAAAAACCTAAGGAAAATTATAATCTCAGACTTAGATATCTATTTTCACGACATAATTGAAAAAAAATCTTTTTATAATTTTCAGCTCAACTCTTTAAAGTTAGGAAGAACTTTTGCGAAAGTAAAGTGTCCGTCCTCCATTCGTCTGTTTTTTTTAATTTGCATGTTCTCTGATTGCAATTAAAATAGTACATAGACTACATAAAGGTACATACTTCAGTACTTAATCGGGTTTTTTTTGCAACGATGTTGCAATAGTTACAATGAATAGAAAATGCTTTAAAATTTTATTTGAAAGACTATCCCTCCCCGAGTTCTGATCTGATTTCAATAAACCTGGGACACTAGTAGACGAGACCAAGATTTATGCAATGTATCTGGTTTGCCATGATTACATAAAAAAGAAATTTCGTTAAAACTCTTTCAGAAACGCTACTCCTTCTGAAGATTTTTAATAAAACCTGTCAAAGAAAGGGGCTTAAACTAGGATCATAATTCTTTTCATTGTTGTTGAGTCCAAATGCTACTAAGTACACACCCCTAAGGAAAGTCTCGACAGTTTTCCTTGATTTACAATGGAGTATAACTCCCTCGATTTCAAATTTCAAATTCTTTACATTATATTCCTTATTCATTGAGTTGAAACATCACTGAGTATAATATGAATTGCAAGCTAGCATTTGAACTTCTGTTATAGGATCTTGTAAGCACTAACAATAATATTTATCGATGTAGGAACAAAATCTACAAATGGCCGTCTCCTTGCAATGATGATGAAGTCAGATTACTGTCTGTAATATTTATTAAATTAGTGGAAATTACAAGAAGCTTGATTGCTTGATTGCACTTCATGAACAAATTTTAAACAATATGAATATCATTTTTATCATTTTGCCACTGAATCCCCGCAGATAAAAGAGCTAAATTAAAAAAAAAACAACTATTATAAGTGCATTTTATTTGTTAATTGTACTAATTTGTTAATAACCATGGCACCTGATCCCACCTCTGATGTCTTAGAGGTCCGTGTTTGCTCAGCTCCCATTTTGTAATGTTTAATGGACTTTTGAGCTCGAATACTGTTCGTTATCTCCACATATTTCATTGTACTAATTTGTACATTGGTATAATAATGTATTTGTATTCATATGAAGAAGAATTTATTTAAAAACTTCTAAATGTAAACTAGAAGTTTCTTGTATGACCTGTGATCAGGGGATGACTACTCCTCCTAGGCACCTGATCCCACCTCTGGAATTTCCAGGGATCCATGTTTCATGCCTCCTTCACATATTCGTATTGTTTATAGATTTTTTTTTTTTGAAGATCAATCACTGTTCGATTTCTTCAACGTTTTTCATTCAATATATCCCGAAATAAAAGACACCATCGAGTCTGACACATCTAAACCACATTTGGATGTTTTACTAGAGAGAGACATTGATGGCAAACTGACAACTAAACTTTAGGATGACTTCAACTTTCAACGCAAGAGCGTACGAAAATATCTAAAATGAGGCAGGCTTTTGAAAAAAAAAATAATTACAATATTTTTTTTTTCGGTTTACCTGATCATGAAAGGTGTGTCCGGACGACAAAGGGAGCTTTCTTCTCCATGACCCCTGATCCCATCTCTTAATTCAGTAGTCTATGAAGGCACTGCTATTATTGTATTGTTGAAATGGAATTTTGAGAATAATCACATGTATTATCTTCCTATTTTCATTTCGAACATACCTGGAAAACTTTTAATTTCGTCAACTATATAACTATGGTGTACAGGGGTGTAATTCTCAGGCCACAACAATTAGGAAAGGTTATTAAAATTCGCTCACTGTTAAAACTGTTTCTACATACAAAAATTTGCCTTTAGCAGAACTTTTAAAAGTCTTGTAAAAATAAGAATAAAATGTTTATTTCATTACTTCTATAGACACATCATGTATCAATGTTCAATGAAAATCCTTATTTATTTCATATTTAATACTCATTACATTCAACTTTGTATGAAAGTTTTGTTCTACTTTTGATATAGGATATTAAACAACAGTATTACCTACAGTCAGTGGAAGAAATAAGACATTTATAAGAATACAGGTGCCTTGTTACAATACATTCTGAAAGTATGTGCTCAAAACTCGACATCAAGACCACCCAAAGTAAATAAAAGTACATGTATGTCTACTTAAACAAAAATGCAATTTACGCCCTACAAACCTTTGTAGAATTTAAAATGAAGACATTCCAGTATGTCTTTTTCATAAGTTTGAAAAAGACAATTAAAACTGTATCATAAGAAGTTAAGTTTAGTAGTAATATTTAAAGACTCACATTTATTACCATAATAACAAATTAATCATGATTAATGTGATTGTCTATAATGAGATACTGGTATTAAATTTAATTGTTTAAAATGATGGCCTGTCAGGCGAATGACATAGCACATTGGTAAGAAGTCTTAAAAGTTCGAAGGTCAAAATGAAAAAAAAAATTAATTAAGAATACTTTAACTTTGTAATCACTTCTTCATATCCATCGTCAGTTCCCTTAATTATATAGCAATATAACATTATTAACTGCACATGGAGTTTGTCTCCAAGTTCTTTCAATACGCAGTAGCTTGATCTACATACAAACAATTTCTAAAACGAGGCAAGGTATTGACAAATAAGTTATCAATAATCAATTTCCTCAAGATTACAACACTTACAAGAGTATAAACAATTTCGTACGCGTGTGAGGTCAACACTGCACAATTTCTATGTTTTTTCTTAAATAGCTATGTTTGCAAATACAACATTACATTAGGTTGACTGTTCACTGAATTTCTAAATACATATTATTAAGGCATAAATTAATGCTGCTCTCTACGAATTACTCCGTTTACCCGACAAAAGGCTCTCAGTGGGTGTTACCGGTCGACGAAATGCAATGCTTACTCCTCCATTTCACCTAGTCTAACTTCTGAGTCTTGAGTTTTTCCAGTGTCTGTGTTTGCTTTGCTCTCAATGTTTAAAGTTCAATTTGAGTTTTGTGCTTGATAGCTGCTTTTCTTTTCTTATTTCATTCATTGATTGATTGTTAGTATTATTATATTTTTTATGTTAGCTAGTTGTTTCGGAAAGTTGTAAACATCTAAAAATAATTTTGATATTATTTTAACCGAAATATTTAATTAAATTGGAAATGTTTTTCATCCCAATTAATTTTTTTTTTTTTGCATATTGAATTCTAAAATCGCCCAATCCCTTTTAACATATAAAATATTTGAATGTATTTCTAAGCAACCATTTTTATTTTTTCCCATTTATTTTCATCATCTCAATCCTTTATAGTGCAGCATAGGTACACATTTCTTACATATTATTCAGACGTGGATATTTTCCTATATACTGTTCAAGAGTGGCAGTTAGACGATATCATTTGCATTTTGTATACATTTAAATAATCACAATTTAGTAAATGATAATGCTTTAGATTAACAGGATATATATTTCCTCTAAGACAAAAAAAAAAAAAAAAAACAAAAAAACAAAAAAACAAATTAGTTGTACATATCTCGAATTGCGTCCCATAACCTGGGAATCACCGCGGTGAAAAAAAGGTCCCGTGTATCAATGCGCAAATTGTTCGTGGGATTATCATCAAATTCTCCCCGGATGATTAAAAAAAAGATTTGAAAGAGGAAATCGCCATTTGTGATACGTCATGGTCATTTATTTTCGACACAGGTCGACACAGGTCCTCAAATATATTTGATTTATTTATAGAGGGGACAGCCTCCCAAAAAATTGACACCGAAAAATTCGTCAGTAATTTCGCCTTAAATGCAAGATTTTGCATCGACCATACTGCAACTAAAAGTGTAAAGCGGGGGGCGGGGGGGGGGGGGGCTAAATGGAAATTTCATCATATTAAAATTACAACAAAAGACGATTCCTCTGTTTGTTTATTTCTCTCAGACCATACAATGGTATATGAGGTACATGAACATATTTACATATATACAAAATACAAATTCCCCACACCACCCACCCTATTCCTTCTATGGGCCAGTAACTTACAATTTTTAAAGCCAGTGAAATTTTCTTTGAATAAAATTCAAGTCCATCATCAAAAATAAAATCAGCCTTGACTCTTGTGTTGAGAGAAGTAGTACACGCCAATTATGCTACTAATTATCATTCCAGTTAATTGGAATGTCTAGTTTTCTCACTCTTGATTAATATCAACTGAAAGGAGCCTTTTTTGTACGGACAGTCTTACGATGATGTGCCAGGTGTGTTGTTTTTAGCGCTTTACTAAATTCCGTGTGTTTGTATATAGACTACGTATCGAACTATCAAGGTTTCTGGTGGTATTTTTACCTCGTCAACGAGTGATTAGCCCTGACGCCTATTACAACTGTCAAAGTCTTCTTTTTTGAAGCGTTTAATGAATAATGCATGATGAACATCATACTTAATACATAGAAGACAACGGTGATTAACGGACGAAGATATGACAAAGCAGTCGAGAGATTTTATGTATAAATATGAAGGAATTAACAAATCACTAAGACTTTGAGCAGAGTACACGGCGGCATGCTTCACGTCCGATCCTCAGCAAGCTTCATACTCTAGTTGTATTGCTGACACTAGCGAGCAAGGGTTAATGAAATACGTGTCATCAGCTACATGCCAAATCAGTTACACAATATTAAAACCTGAAAACATCAGCGTATAACTACCGATCAACGACAGTGTTTATGTTTTCCTACACACTACATGGCAGGACATAGCCCCTACATGGATCCTGGACCATTTAACTGGATATAAAGTGAACCCTCTTCCTTTAAACTATCACCAGCATGAACTTTTAATCAAAGAACAGGAAACAGAATTTCCTACCTGTTACTTGTTATAAAAGCAAGTCCTTGGCTTTGTAACCTCAGTTTTTTTTTTAAAACACGTGAGATGGAGTGAAAATGCAAGCTAATACGAAACCTTGTAGGGATCCATGGATTATATATATACGATAATTCGTGTGAAACAATGTGCTGTACTTGCTTTCTTACTGGTATATTCTTGATGCTATATTTTTGTTCCGGTTTTACACAACCTACGTGGAAACACGGACGCCGGGCCCTGATGTTGGAACCCCCTCAAAGAAGCTCCCTTTGGAGGTATGGAAGGGATACGCCACTTAATATCAACGATAGTGCCCTAAACTGCGGGGGATTTGAGGTAAGTTGTTAAAACAGATTCAGGAAGTTTTATTAGATATATAATTAGCAAAGATGCGATTAAATAGACCGACCTCTTAAAAAATGCACGAGTGTTTAGGAAAAGTAACTCTAATTTGAAATGAGGGTCTAATTTTATGTTCATATAGTATGTTTTCCCTTTCTTAAAAAACACTAATATTAACTATAGGATCACTACAACCTCTACAGATATATATATACTTATCTAAAAGAGAATCGGGCAATGGTTGTACAAAACTGATCTACAGTGCTGGGAACAGCACCTTGACACTTCTTGAGTTTCCAAAGGAACTAAGCACTGAATAGATCTCATTGCACTCAAATAATCCTATAACACAATATTGAATAAATTTCATTGCAAACAAATAATTCTACATTTACAGGATAATTTTCATTATATATTTCACATTTGATATTGCTAGATTATTACTCTTTTATTAAATGTTCTTAGACAAAGTATTGTATATTGAGTGGTCAGTTAACCCTTGTCCTGACGGTGTGTAAATAGCCATAAACAGAAAGGTATATTTATAAACATGCAATAAAAATAACAAAAATCTATACTTCTATTAATCAACATTGATAGTCATAGTTATTGTAAACCAATATCCAAGGACAATGACTTCTATCCATCATGAACTACAAAATTAAGCTTTTGGTAAAATTACGACATTCTCAAACATATAAAACTAGTTTTTCTTTAACAAGTTTGTAGTAAACGCACATATAATCACAGAATACTTCAAATCCCACATTTTTAAATCATTGAAACTCAGAGATAATATTGAAAATTGACAAAAAATCGAATTGAAGCTTAAAATATGGGATATATTCTTCAATGTAAACAATTGCTATGGCTTCAACTCGACTTTTCGTTATATCGACGAGGTATTATCAACTAACAATAGTTACTTTCATTCATATGTCGACTCGATATATCCCAGTGAGCTTGAAATAAAAGATACCACAGATTCTGACACATCTGTTTCATAATTAGATATTTTACTAGAAAAAGACATTGATGGTAACCTAACAACAAAGCTTTATGATAAACGTGATGACTTCAACTTTTCAGTCGTCAACTTCCCTTACTTACGTAGCAATATACTCTTATCACCTGCATATGGGGTTCATGACTCTCAGTTGATTCAATACACAAGAGCATGCTCTACGTATTAACAATTTCTACAACGAGGCAAACTATTGACAAACAAGTTGATGAAACAAGGATATCAACAGTCTCGTTTGAAGTCATCATTTCGCAAGTTTTACGGTCGATACAATGACCTTGTCAGCACATACAACCTATCATTAACTCAAATGCCGACTGATGTTTTTCATACTAATTGTAAGGTCATTACTTATACAATGAACTGTCTACAATTTTTTTCGTTATTTCCCGATCATGACAAGGAGCACACGGCGGGTGTGACCGGTCGGCAGGGGATGCTAACTCCTCCATGGTACCTGATCCCACCTCTAAATATTGAGGTCCGTGTTTGCTCTGCTCGAAATTTGTATCGTTTTATTGGACTTTCGAGATTGAATACTGTTCGTTATCTTCATATTTCATCTAAGAAGTTGATTGTCAATAAATGTAGAAGCTGTTTTACGTACTTAAGATAATTTTACACAGGGAAACTATTATCCTTATTATCCTATTATGCTTCTTATTTCAACGTAAAATTATCTTTGTCTTTAGATATTAGGATTTAAAAAAAAAATATTTCTATCTTGTTTATAAATTTCTGTATGGTCTTCTCTCATAATAAACAATAATGGTATACATGTACTTTGAGTGAAAAGTGCTTCAACAATAGCGTATAGGTCTTGGACATAAAAATGAAATTAATTGTTTTATTGTCTTCTAAGACAATTTTCATTGAAAAACTTTATGACCTTGATCGGACGTTGATTAGCTTTTCGTGGTCATAAGACATGTCAAATCTCTACAGAGAACTTTTGAAAATACCGTGAAAACAATATACTCAAATCCTGACCGTCATTGAAATACTGACAGTACATTTTCCATTTAGACATGCCTTTTACAGTTTTACAGTCGGTAAGTTAAGTAGGAAAGACAGTTACTTTGATAATTTAGATTAATTATAACATTGTAAGCTCCAAGATTGTAAATTTTATTTTTAACGATAGTTACACTATAGCTCAAGTTGATGACTTGCTTAGGAACATACATAATAAAACTTTGTTTAAATAGTGTTGTTTAATGTCTCAGCAAGTATGTATGAAAAATTGGTAGTTGTTAATGTGAACAAATTGTTGTACCTTAAGCCTGACGGTATTTACAGGGGATTTTTTTTATCTATCATCCATAAACATAATGTCTTATTATCATTTGTACCTTATTTTCTGTTCATTGGGTTATACCTCATTAATCACCATTTCCTCTATTTATGGATGACATAAGCGGCCTTTATATTTTTTTGTGAATAAATGATAGCAGCGGCGGTGGCTCCTAACACAGAGCTATCCACGGGATATATGTTCAATTAATAGGATAGAATTTGTAATCAGTTCATGCACAGTTAAAAGATTGATTAATCGTAATCACTGAAACTTGTCGACATGATCTATAAATCATGCAGGGTTAGGAGTAAATGAGCCCGACAGCTTGAAGTACAGCTGTGACAATAAGAGCCCCGCCAAGGCGCTGAAGCGCTCATCCATCAGCGGGTTATGACAGGTCTACTACCTTTTATTGATTTAGAGAAAATTAAATATTGATAATTTCTGAATTTCAGTCAATTCAATTTTTATGAGTTAGATCGATGAATCTGAGACCACACCTATAATTATTACTGCTGTGGAGTTTTTGTCAATTAATGTAAGATAATACACTCTTGTATTTTCTGTGTGAAAATGCATACCTTGAATATGAATAGAATGCCAATAAGACTATGATATATCCATCAATGTCATTCACAAATATGCATTCTTTGATATGAAACTTACAAAATCTAATGACTGCATCACGAGTTATTAAATTTAAGTACGCCTTTCGTAACTCAATGACCAAGAAAAAACATTGCAAATTGCAAAGCTTACACAACGTTTATTGCGCGCACAAAAATGTACGCATTTTTTATAATAAAAATAAATATCATTTAAAAATGTTCTATTTACAGCAATGATTCCTCCCACTAATTACATGTTTGTGTAAAGAAGACTTCAAATCCCAGAAAAAAAATAAAGGGTTAAGCAAACAGAAAGAGAAATGAAGGTTTTCGTAAAGAGAAAATTAATTTACAGATAAATATGCTTGTTTTGAATTACTTATTTTCAAAATTTAGTTCCTTATGGAAAACATTTTTTATCAGCTAGACTTTTCAAAGGAGATAATGAAAAAGACTTGTTTAGAGCATTTAATTAATACATATAAGAGTATATAAATTAAGCATAAAAGCATTGATGCATTTTTATTTGCAGTAAAATATGCCGTTCACGGTATAAACGCTAGGGGACAAAAAAAATTAAAATGTTCAACGTTCATTTTTTGGGTAGGAATAAAATATAGGGGAAAAAATCAATAAGTTATGTCTATACATCCGAAAAGTATTTAAGAAGATCTACAGGTAAGCTGTCCTGGTGGTAATTTTTTTTTTCTTCACGAAACGACCAAAAAAAAATTATGCTTTGTTTTGTACGTCCTTCAAGCATTCCATCGTAGGCATGCCTTAAACGTACTATAAGAAAATCCCGAATCTAAATTCATACTGTGATAAGAAAAATAATAATAATCATGTCTGTTACAAATGAATTAATTAAAAGCTTTCTACACCTTACAAAGAACCAACCACAGTCGACTGCTAGCCAATTTTACATCGAATATACATTTGTTTTTAGATGACTTCTCTGACGTTTTTCAGGATAAATGTTTGCTATGTGGTCAGATTTAGTCTCTGTTCCAGTTGGTTGTTATTTTCAGTCCTTTGTTACCACTTCCTGAAAGTTTGCTGTGTATTATATATTCATTTCATGTGATTTCAATCGTGATTATAATAATGGCGTTTTGTTAGACTGAACTCGTGTTTCACTTGGTCAGTTACTATATAGCTCTTTGAAATTAGAAAGTTAATGCAGGTGGCTCCTTACAAAACCTCTTACATTTGCTCTCATTATATGAGGACACACCTTGAAATATTATGCTTAAATATACATCGAAAATTTGCAAGACGTTTAAGTAAACAAGGTCAATGAACAATGTCAAGAAATGTAACAAATATCCGGATTCATTTTTTCCATCAAGAGACGTTCTTAATATTAGTTTGTAAAGGTCGTATGAAGTCGTCTGTTCAAGTTTGGTCTAGTTTTTCTTGTCAAAAATGCATTGTCTCTCATTCTCAGCTTGGCAGCTAGTTCAAGGCTGTAGGTATAGGAAGCACTTACTAGGAACGTTGTATTGGGAACAGAAATTCCTAGACGTCATATTACCTGAATTTAAATTTCTTTCCATAAATCAGTCTCCAGCTTAATGCAAATTGTCATTTTTCTCTGCAACATTTGGTCCCTATCATCTACACAAATAAACCTGGCATCTATCATATAAGTATTAAAAGATAGAATTACATGTATTACAGACTTATGGGGTTTGTCTGACCAGCTTCGATTTATTATTGCAAACTGTGTCATGTCTACATCTTTAAAATTGTACAGAAACTGTTTATTTATAAATATATATGAAGAAAAATATCTTGATAAATAATTCAATTATTTCAAAGGCATAAGTTTATAGGGGATCTTAATAAAGTTTTTTTTTTTTAGATTTAATATATAAATGAAAAAAAGACTTAATTTTAAAAAAAAATTGTTATTTCAGAGACAATGGGTTCGAAATAACGGTGCTTGTGGAATTTGTGGTGACCCAGCAGATGGTCAACAGGAACACGATGAAAATGGAATCTATGACAGCAATATAATTGTCAAGAAATACACAGAGGGTGGTTATGTTAACGTTACTGTGGAAGTGGAAAGTAACATGCTGGGCTTCTTTGAATTCAAACTCTGTGAACGAAACTTCCCAGACGCTCCTCTTACAGAGAAGTGCTTTGACAAAAATCCCCTCTGGATAGAAGAGTCGTGGGATAATAAGTATTACATTGGTAGTCATGGTGGAATATATGATATTCATATTCGGCTTCCTGAGAATGTTGTCTGTTCCCATTGTGTTTTACGGTGGAAATATAGTACAGGTAAAAGTGCACGTTCTTAAAGAAATAAATATTTGTTAACAATTTTAAATATGAGTAAAATTCTAAATTAAAATTTAAATATGAAGGTTATAACAATCTTTGCATTTTATTTAATAGGACACAGAATGGGAGGAGAAAACGGTTGTCAACCTATGGGGTCAGGTAGACAAGAGCAGTTTTATAATTGTGCGGATGTAGAAATTGTACCAAAAAGTAAGGATGCTATGTATGAACGTCCACTTTTAGCGGTACACGAGAATATTTACCTTGTGCCACATGAACTTACTTATAATCTGACTAAGGAAGAATTGGAAATATTAAAAGAGGGAATACGAAAAATTACCCCCATGATGAACAAAACAGTTCCAAACACGCTGCCACTTTCATATGATAATCTTATTGGTAAGCCTATGTTTGACCTGCAAAGTTTTTGGTATAACAATACCATCCAAGGTGAAACTCCCCATGATCACACCCATACAGTGCCAAGCACAGACATTAAAACACCTCCCCCCGTCAGACCAGTTCAGACCGTCCCACCACCAGATATATTCCGACAGGCCCTACCGCCACCACCGCCCCAGATTCCATTTGAAGATGGAATTAACGAATCCAGAATAACGGGTGATACAAGCAGTGATAAAAGTCGTTTTGTGCCTTCCCGAGATAGTCCCATGTATGCAATTGGAGATTCTTATGTGTTTCCTGTGTTTGAAAGTAAAACAAGACATAAACAAGTAACCACAATCAGACCTATGTTGGCTGAGAACAAAGTCACAACTACTGAGGAAGTTTGTAATGTGAAATCTCCCAAATTCCATTGTGAAGGTAAAGGTCAATATAGGGACACCAAAGGAATTAAAGAGTGGTGCCTGATAAACTGCCAGAAAAACAATTGTGTTGATTTCATGTGCAACTGTGGATGTCATAAACCTGTTAAGAAACGACAATGTACTGCAAATGGTCCCTTCCAGATGCTACATAACATGAACGAATGGTGTAAAAGCATGTGTGAGGCAGGCAGGTGTCCCCCGAATCTATGCAATGTTAAAACCTGTTTGCCTACCCCAAGATAGCAGATTAATTTTGGGGGAAAATGACTAGTGTCTTGAAGTTCAGACACTTTAAAAAATCGAATAAATGGAATAATCCAATGATTATCAGCAACAGACTACAGGAAGAATATTTTTAGTTCAAAATACCGTGTCTTTTTTATGATGTTATGAGAATAGTTACGTCTTTCTATGTACAAATCGACATAATATCTTGAATGGAACCGGTTTGCAATGTAGTCTCAGTATTTGAAGTCTAATTTTATTATGTAAATATAAAAGTACGGTGATGATGGATGTTTTATCCATTAATAGTGGAATCTTCTAAAGGTTCCAATGAAGTTTTTGTCTGATTTTGTAAACATATTTATTGTCAGTAAGTACCAATTCCACATTCAATTTCATATTCAATTTAAACTCGTGGGATATATTTTTATGTAAAAAAAGCATGAACAATAATTTTCATATTATGCATCTAAGTCGTATGAGAAAGGAATTTCGATTCATTTACTTCAACCAGACTCAAGTAAAAATCGAAATATACATAACGAGTCACGGTGATTTACGCGAAGATACTAGAGTGAAGAAATTAAACGTGACACTGTAACTAATAGAGGTCTTTCTTAATGTCTTTTAATGAGAGGATGCTTCATTATTGTGCAATTAATTTTTGTTCCAAAAATATCACCATAAAAAGATATTAAATATACACTTATTTATTTTATTAATGTATATAATGAGGATATTTGTTAACATGAAGATATGGTAATTATTTTAATTATAAAGAGGTGTAGAAGTTCTTGTCATGCCTTTTGAGTTGCATCATAAGTAAAATTCATTTTGAAATCTCTTGGAGTAGGATGTATTTATAAATGCGTCGTGGTCCAATGCATGAAAGTTTAAACTATCATCATTTTTAATTACACAAGGCTTTGATTGGAAAAGTTTACAGTATAATTCTATGCTTACTAGATTTCCATTTTTATTTATTATTTATTCAAAGTGAAAATGTAGTGTGAATAGTTTGAATTAAGGTTAGTATGTGCAAGAGATATTTCATTAACATTTCCTTGGTTTTACTTTTGTTGCTTTGTTTAAATGTTTACCAACACGTGTCTCTAGAGGAGAGAACTTTATAGATAATACTCGTCAGACATTTGTAGTTCTTTTAATAAGGCTTTACTTAGTAATTACACCTGCCAATTGTTTTTTATTATTGTTATAATTTGATGAATAAATATTTCTTTATTTCTTTTAGTGTGATATCTTTTATCTTTACTGTTTTATCTAGTATATGATAATTTTTTTTTCAAAGTAAACCATGGAAAAGAAAAAAAGAAGGAAAAAATCTGTTATATTTAGAAATGAGTTTTGTGAAAATAGCAAACAGAAATAGCGCTCAAAAGGCTAATTAAAAAGTCCAAATTTAGCGTAGAGGAAACACAGACCCCTGAAACCATCAGAGGTGGGACCAGATGCCAAGGAGGACTAAGAATTCGCTGTCGACCGGCCATACCCCCCATTCCCCTTGTGCTGATAGGGTTAATCCGTTGACAATTTAATATAAAGCTAATGGCCCTACAATTTGTATGACAAACATCAGTCAACATTAAATCTAACAACAGATGGTTAGATCTTTGTAACGACCAGAGAATTTGTCAAATGGGGCAAGAATGGAATTATACCTTTAATTTGATAAAGAACTTGATAAAAGATAATTTAACCATTTTTGACAAACATTTCCAGTAATCCTTAAGCATTCTAATGGATTGCACTGTGTGTGACCGGCTGACAGAAATTTCTTATTCCTCTGGGCTTTGGTTGTTTGTGACCGGTCGACAGGGGATTGATACTTCTCCTTGGCTACTATTGTTTGTGATTATTCTCACCCCTCTGGGATCAGCTTGTTTGTAACCGGTCCGCAGATTATTTTCACCCCTCTGGGATCTGACTGTTTGTGACCGGTTGACAAGGCATTCTGACTTCTCCTTGGCTCTGGTATTTTAAGAGATCTGTGTTTTTGCCATGTTCATGATTTGTATTGTTTTATGAATTTTCGAGACTGATCATTGTTAGTCATAATCTTCGCCTTTTTTTTTTTTATTTTTTGACATAAGGATAAACTCACTCAGGGTTCAAGCTTCAGAGGGGAAAGTGTTTCTTTCTAAAATGTATTAATCTTACATGGAATCCAAAAAATAAAAATACATAGAATACCAGAGAATGAAAGTTCACTCTTTCATTTCTCAGATTTCTTTTATAGAAAAGCTAATTGAGTTCGAAAAATCATCTGTTGTCGCATTGTGAAATAAGCCTGATTTAGGTATAGGAGATATACCATTGATGGTTCTTATAGTCTTATTATAGCAACAGGTTTATTTCATTTATTTTTACCTAGGCTAGAAGATAGAATGAAGGATTCACCTTAGCTGACTTGATACAAACTTTCCCTTAAGAAAGCAATCACATTTTTGGAACAAATAGTCCATTTACTCTTCTGTGGTAGCAGTGACAAAAAATTCGAATTCTGTTAGATTTGATGTCAGAAATAATCCATTTTTTTCAATGTCTGGACAGTTCGTGGGAAAACGAAGTTCTAATTATTCATGTTTCTTCTGTTTCAAAGGCAATGGTAGCTATTTAAAAAAAAAATGAATCTTGAAGTCCCGGCCAAATTTAGTGTTATCATTTTTCTATACTGTTCGCCAAGCTATTTCGAAAACTCCTGCGGATAAAATTGGGTGGAATAAGAAAAAAAGGTACAGAATAGACATGAAGAAATAATAATAATATGTCATCTATGTTTGGTATGACATGATTTTATAGAGCTCTTTTGAGTGTTTACATTTTCAAATTTTTATTGCTTTTCAAATTTTCTTTTGTTGTTCACTTTGTGTAAAACTCATCCGGTTAATAAAACACTTTGTTACTTGAATTGGATATAAACTTTTAAGAGTTTTTTTTTTAAATTCCTTTTAAAAATGATCAATTTACTTCATATGAGTTTCAATTAACAACGGAACGAATTTTATTTTTATTTTTTATGCAATAATATTCCACAATCATCTGTATATGATGTTTATGTCTCTAGACTGATTCGAAACTCAAGCTATGTTCATGTTCTATTAAATTCCCACAATCACCTGCTTATATAAGGTGTTAATGTTTCCCAACTGATTTGATAATGTCTTTCTTATTTTATGAATTCTTAAACAGAGGCAGGCTACTGATAAGTTGATGTTTCAGAATATTGAAGTATCTTATTTAAAGTAAGCATTTTGGAAATTCCATGGTCGTTATAATGGCCCTGTTTACAAGTACAACCGGTCGTTATGTAGCATTTCAACTGACATGTTTCCCACCAGTCGTTAGGCTCTTGTGTTTATATCATTTTGCTATGGATTACTCCGGTAACCTGACCAATACAGAGGGCACACGGCGGTAGTGACCGGTCGATAGGGATGCTTACTTCTCTTAGGCACCTGATCCCATCTCTGGTGTTTCAAGACGTCCGACTTTTTGCCCTGTTCATGATTCATATTGTTTACTGGATTTATGAGATTGATCACTGTTCGTTATCTTCACTTTTTTACTTAAAGATTTTTTTAATAGGTTTTCCTATGACGCATTTTTCCTCGGAGTCATTCCCCTTGGCTGCCATCTTGTAGGTCAAAGTAGTGAATTTTCCTCTTTGAGCAACCAATTTTAAAAACGCATGCCAAAAATATATGGTAAAAAATATTTACAATATTGAATTAATGAATTAAAAGAAGCTTTAACAAACGTATATTCATAAGAAAAATAGTGTTATCTTCACCTCAGTGCCCAGTATAACAAATTGAACTTGGTTGAATAATGAAGGGATCTGGGGATGTTGACCTACAATATGGCGGCCATGGGAAATAACTCTTGCCTAAATCACATTGATGGAAAACCATCTATTGAAAAATAGTATATCAATTGCATGAAATTCATCTTTACACTTAGAATACAGTGGTATTGCTCTGCGTCCGTATGGATAAAGAAACACCTTTGTTTCTGGCTTTCTATAAATTTATGTTTTTTTCTTTGGTATATGTAACCGATAATAAGTGTTTCCATAAAAAATAACTTCCTGGGGAGAATTAAAATAATTTAGTCAACATCGGTATTTTTCTTCTGTAAATAGATACTTCTCGGAAGTTTATATACATTTAATATTTCATTACCTATTGTTATCACGAATTTACACCAATAGTAAGTATTGCCAGGCGCATGAAAAATTTTGAATATTAAACAGTTGTAGGAAAACCTGTAGGTTGGAAAGGTTAACGAGTCATTTGGTTAATTGATAAACCACAAAAATTTTATCTTTATATGTAGTGTTAAAGAAGTTCCAAGTCACGTGATGTCTTTTTTAATCACATTATTTTGGCTAAGGACTGCAAAATTGGACTTTCATACAGAAAAATGCCCCTCAGATGTAGCAGAGCTGAACCACCTATATTTCTTTGAAATAAGAAAGGAAAACCAAAACACTCAACAAACTGGAAGGAAAATCAAAAGCATGGAAAATTGGGAATGTTATTAAAAATAAGTTAATTTAAGCATTTAGTATCGAAAATGATAAATCAGAGTTAAATTTCTAAGCGTTAATTGTATGATAATTATTGACAATTTAGCAGGATTTCCATGGGCCTTTTAACGTGGCGGCCCCAACACAGTTAAATTCTTTAGGGCCACAATTTAAAAATCAGCGCCATCTAAGTTCCGCCACAGTAAAATAAAAGCACAACAGTAAGATCGTTGTCGATCATGAGGATAAATGTTTAAATTTATAAACTTCAAAATGAACCTCCAAATTCTGTACTTTTTTGTTGTGCTGAACCGTTATTTTTAAACTAATTTGGATCCATTGTTTGGCTTGCAAAATCAATTTTCATCTAGGCCTCGTTGGACTTTACACATGAATGATAAAAGATAATCCAATTTTTCACACATCCCGGTAATTGCAAAAGAGTTTTTTTAATATTTATTTTAAAATTACTTAGTATATCTAAAGATATCTAGTCTGTAAAATTGCATATTGGCACTGTAAAGCACCGTGTATCTTAATCATGTATTGATGTAATGTTCAGAAGTTAACAATAGATCCATCAAATAGTATTTCATGACTCAAAACAGCTAATA